CAAGGCGGCGGCTGGGGTTTTTTACAGTTCTTTCCCGAGTCGAAAAAGAAAGCAGACGACAACCCGCCGCCCTCCCCTTCCTGCTCGCGAGCTAACGCCGAACCCAGCTTCCCAGCTTCCAGCCCACCTCCCCCCCCTCCGCCCGACTCGCGGCGCTCAGCGGCGACCGCGCTCCCGCGCACAGACACACACAGGCTGCAAACTTCCACTCCGCGAACTCCCTGCTCTCCTCCCGGCCCCCCCGGAGGCGCCAGGTCCCCAGCCGCGCCCCCTCCCTTCCCTGGTGCCCACGCGGGGCCGCTTAGGTTGGCTGCATTTTTAATAACTTATAGCTATGAAATAAAAACGAAAGCGACCAAAGCAGCCAAAGGGAAGCGCGAGGCAAAAGCTTCGCGAGGTAGGCGGCGGGCGGGGGCCCCGGGGGAGGGGGCCGACTGCAGCCCTCCGCGCGCCCGCCCACCAGCCCACCCGTCGGCTGCCTCCCGGGGGAAAAGGTGTTCCGGGCACTGACCTGAAATCCCCGGTCGGGGAGTAGGCAGGGAGCCTGCGATCCGGCGCTTTGAAGTTTTCCCCCGAGCGGACTCAAGGCGGCGAGGAGGAGCGGGGGTCGGTTGGGTGGGTGGAGAGAGGTATGAGGGGTGGGGGGTTGGCGACGTTAACGAACGGAGAAGGAGCCGGACCGGAGAAGCGCGGCGAGCAGCAAAGTTTGCGGTCCCTGGCTGCCCGCAGCCCGCTCGCGGCGACGCGCTCGCTCGACTCCCTCACCGTCTGCAGCCAGCCGGCTGCCCTCGGGGTCGGCCCCGCCGAGGGGTGGGCTCTGGGCTGGGTGGGGGCGGGGCGGGGCGGGCTCGGAGCCTCCGGGCAGGTGGCGACAGCCCAGTGCGATCCTCCGGGCTCCCGCAGCTGGACTGGGCTCGGCCGGGCTCAGTAGCTCCCGCGCCGCCGCCGCCGCCCGCGCTCGGGCAGGAGCCCCAGCGCCATGTTGACGGTTCGCCGCTAGCGCCCGCTTGGGCTGGGTGTGTGTGAGTGTGTGTGAGTGTTGGCCAAGTCGTCCCTGCGCGGCGACAGCGCGGCTTGGGCTCTCCGCCCGGCGGCTCGCGGGCTCCCCCTCCGCCGCCGCCGCCCGCCTAGCTCCCGCTCTCGGTCGCGGTCTGGGCTCCGGCGCGTCTCCCCCGCAGCCGCCGAGCTCGGCCCGCGTTCAGCGAGGAGCGCAGCTCTGCCTCACCTTGCCGCTGGGAGCCCAAGCTCCGTCTGCCGCCGCACGCCGCGATCCCAACGCGTCCCCCCTCCCTGGTTCCCTCCTCTTCCTCCTCCTCCTCCCTCCGCCCGTCCTCCCTCCCGCCCGCCCTACCTCCCTCCCTCCCTCCCAACAGCCGCCTCCCCTCCCCCCGCAGGCGCAGCGCTCGGGCGACAGCCGCCCGCCCGCCGCCGCCTCCAGCTCTCGCAAGTTTGAGCTCCCCCAGTCTCCGCTCACCCTCCGCTGCGGCGCCTCCGCGGTGGGGTTTCGGGCGGGGTGATTCCCCAGGAAAGGTTTGCTCGAGTTTCCCCGGCCGTCAACGATGTACGGCCCCGCACGTTTGGGCCTCTCCGGATCTGAACCTCGGACCACTTGGGTGGCGCCCCCCTCGCCCCTTGCCTCCCCTCCCCAGCTCGGGCCGAGTTGGTTGCGCACGCCCGCCCGGGCGCACGTCCTGGGCGAGCCGGAGACCGACTTGGGCGGCGGCGGCGGCGAGGGCGGCCGGCTGAGCCAGAGCCGAGGGGATGGGGGCGGCGGGGGCGGCTCTCCCAGCCGCGCGCCGAGACTCCCCTCGCTACCCAGAAGGCCAGTGGAGGACCGCAATTACCATAAAGCGCCTCGCACTCCGCTCAGCCAAAGCTGTCAAACCCCAGCGGCAGTAGCCGCTGCCGCCGCCTCTTGCCACCAGCGCTGCGCTCTCCTGGCCTCGTCCCCTCCGAGACCCAGCGGAGCGTGGCCGGTGCCCGCCCGCGCCCACCCCCGCCCTAGATTGCCCCTTCCTCCGGGAGGAACCCTTTCCCATTTCAGTGTTAAAAGCTACCTGAAAACACCACCCCAGGCAATAGTGGCCGTTCCGCCTGAACTCCGCGCCCGAGTTCCCCGGACGTTTCAATTGTGTGGGAATTGTTTGGAGGTGGGGGGAAGGGGGAGCAGCCCTTGAAGGCACAGGGAGGCGGGTGGGGGGACGGTCGGAGAGCGGAGATCCGCCTGTATTTCTCCCGGTTTTCCAGCATTTTCTCGGTCTGCACCTCGGATGGTTGGAGGGGCTGCCCTGGCCCCTCACCCCGGCCTTGGGAGATTATCTCCCGCGTTTTATTTTCCTTGTCAGGGAACAACTTTTGGCTTACACCGTTCGCCCCATAAATTTCTACTCGGTAACGTCGTGCTGATCGGTGCTCGGCGGCGGCGTACAGCCTGCGCCCGCAGCAGTTCAATTCAATTGACACGTATTGAGCTTCTCCAGCGCTCCCGGCGCGGCGCTGGGCGCGGGGGGAGGGCGGGGGCAGGCGGGAGGGAGGGGGAAGCGAAGAAGCGAGGTTCCAGCCTCCCCGGATCGCAGAGCCTCAAGGGCGAGCAGAGAAGCCCTAGTTCATGAAGCAGGCGGGAAGGGGTAGGAGTGGGGGAGGGGATATTCCGGACTAACCGCACCCAGACTGCGGGCCTGGACTTCGGGGCCAAAGGTGACCCCATTCGGCTGCCCGCTAGGGATTTATGCTGAGAAGGGGGTGGGTGTCTCTTTCTGCCTAAGGACAAGATGGTGCAGGCTCGATGAAACATAAATCTGAAATGGAGGTGGCTTGTAAATCCACACGGAAAGTTTTTAAAATATCCTGGAGTGTCCCCATGCCAAAAATAATCAAAAGCATCTCAAGTTGATTACTAAGTCAAGGTCAAGGCCAAAATCAGCTCTAGCTAGCAGATATTTTCCCTTTTAAAAATTAGACTCACTACTGACTGTGGGACTGGTATTAGGTGCGATTTTATTCATTCTGTTTTAGTTCTCAGCACATAGTTATAAAAACAGCCCTTCTCAAAGCAGAAGTGAAACATCTCTACCGTTTGAAACCCGAAACTTCGGCAGAATTAAATCTTCATGCTCCAGAGCTGCTTATAACAACTGATGCAAAAGACAGACGAGCAAGTGCCCCCGCGAGCAGTGCCCAGCCGGGCTGGGCCGCGAACGCGACCAGCGATTGCAGAATGGAATGCACGCTTTTTTCTTCCTGGGCTTTCTGGGGGTGGATATCTCTGCAAGCTAACCCACATATTTTTTTAATCTCCTGTAACAAGCAGAAAGACACCTGGGCTATTATGCTATAAAACTATTTTTTATAAAGACATTTTAGGGCCAGACATTAAAAGTTATTAGATTGAACGCATGCGAGTTACAGACACAGCTGGAGAAAAGGCCTCTGGTTGTGTGTTGTAGCAACATTTCTTTTTTGAAGCGACTCCTTTTATTCAAAACAAGTCAAAAATAACCGGGAAGGCTGAAGTTGGGTATTTGTGGGGAAACTCTGAACGTGGTTCCAGGCGAGGTGGCCGCTCTGCTGCAGGCTGGACGGGAGAACTGGCCTGCGCCAGTGTGGAGCCGTGCCAGGCTCTTTCGGCAGGGTTAGGCAGAACCGCAGAGACCCTGGCCCGGTGCCCAGCCACCATCTCTCCCCTCCCCTGGTCTCCCCAACTCTGCCCCGAGGCTTTTCTCGGAGTTCCAAGTCGCATGTAACCGTCCAGAACTTTTAGAAAATCCAGGAACCAAGCTTGCGGCCTGCAGCCTCTCGGAGTCTTACAGCCTCCCGGGGCTGCTGACAAAGAGGTTTGTCTAACTTTAAAAGTCCTACAGTTCCGGAGGCTGAGGCAGGAGAATCCCTTGAACCCGGGAGGCAGAGGCTGTGGTGAGCCGAAATCGCGCCATTGCACTCCAGCCTGGGCAACAAGAGCGAAACTCCGTAAAAAAAAAAAAAAAAAAAAAAGCCCTAGTGTTAAAATGAATCGGAAGGTGGGGGTGCTGTAAATGCGAAGGGGCCGCGGGGAAGGCTGACTGCGGAAGAAATTTGATGCTGGAGATAAACAGGCCAGTAAATTCACCTTTGACAAAATTTGCAACCCCCGCCCCCCCCCCCCACGGCCTTTATAGGTATTTCGCCTACACGGTATCCTCACGAAGGCTGGTAGGATTAAAGGGTTTCTCCTCCATCTCCTAGGGATGCATTTTCCAACTCTGTGGGATTTTTAAAATATCTTATTAAGGGAGTCCTAAGAGGCACGAGTGGTTGGGGGGATTCGTGACTCACTGGGAATTAAAATGTGGGATTTTCCCGAGGCTCTCTAAGGCAGAGAGCGGGAGGGGAAATTACACCTATTGGCCCCGTTCGTTCGAATTGTTCTGGGGAAAACAGGCAGAAAGCTGTCGAAGGGCAGTCCCATCTTGTGTCCCCACTCAAGAAGGGGCTCAGGGAGCTGGGGATGCCGCCAAGCCTGCAGTGTGTGCGGGTGGTTTGGCTCTTCTCCTGCCCCCTCTTCCCCTGCCCTCCCACGAGCCCCTAGGGAGCTGACCCGGGGGTCAGGCCGCTATACCCAGCACTCAGCAAGCGGAGGATTTCAATGAAAGCAGAGGAGGAGGAGAGAGTGAGCAAGGGAGCTCATGGGAGGGGAGGCCGTGCAGCCCACGAAGAAATTAATAAATAGACGCTGAAATGAGAGGTGCTGCGGAGTGGAGGAGCGGGGGCTGCCCCTTCTCCATCAGTCTCCGTCCCCATGGGAGGGTCTCCTGATGAAAACAAACCGCTGGACCTCAGCCTAACCAGGCCCTGCAACTGGGCAAGCGACCTGGCGGTGGTAGGAACAGGCCTCGGGCCAGGCTGCCCTTCTTAAGTCAGGCTGACTCTGCAAGACCCGCTAGGGCTTCTCCCACAAACCTCTAGCCCCACCCTGGCCTAGAGGCATCCTGTGTCTGAGGGGACCCTGGCCTCCTAACCTTGTGTGCAAGGTTCATTTATAACTTATGTGTGGGATCCACATCATAAAGCTCTGTAGGCCTCCCTCCAGTGGCCCTCCTCGGAGGCTGTTCTCAGGAGGATGACATTTGGTACTGGAACAGGTGGGACTTGCATGAGTACAGATCATATATTTTTTTACATGTGAGGTAGTCTTTCTCTTAAAACACACTCACACTTAAAGTCTTCTGGTCACTTGTCACAAGAACTCTGGGCTTATCCAATAGCACTTTAAAGAAGATCGACAGCCCCGTCCACCAAGCACAAGGCACGGCTGGCTTGCCCCCCTGAAACTTAAACGAGGTAACAAGAGGAGGCCCATCCTTCTCCCAGGATTTCACTCATCTGGAAACATCTAAAGGTAGCTGCCTCCCAGGGCTAAAGACTGCTGGACTTAACGGTCGCCAGGTGGAACCTGATTGCTCTTTCTTCTTCCTGGCCTTTGGAGGGTTATTGGGTGTTTGGGGGAGGAAGGCCCTAGGCGCACGCTCTCCGTGGTTCCTAGCAACCGTCTCGGAATTTCTGGTCTGGGCTTGATTTGGGTCAGGCCCTGAGCTCCCCGAACTCAGGCACGCTTGGGTAAACTAGCCTGTACATTATGGGGGCCCGCAGGGTGGTTGGGTGTCGACCAAATGGACATAAATACAGGAGGCTTCTGGGAGACCGTGTCTTTCGCTCGGCAAGGGCTTAAGAGACTTCGACGCCGCCGCGCTGGGCCGGATGCTCCAGCAGATAAACCCGGACGCCACGTCCCTCCTCCGCTGCTTATTTAGAAAGGCGCCTCCTGCGCATATTTTACCCGGCTGGGGGCAGTGAGTGGGAACCGCAGAGAGAGGGGGCGGAGAACTACCAACCACTCGCCTTCGGACCCAGTGTGCCGGCCTCCAGCCCCAGCCATTTTGTATCCAGCTTCCTTCCTCCACTCCCACCAGGTCCCTGCGAAATCGCACCACCCCAAACCCCTTCGCGATACCACTCCCGAACTGGAGGGGTGGAGAAGGCCCTGTCAGTCCCTCGCCTGCGGCAGGAAGGTGTGTACGGACCAGCAGAAGGGAATGCAGTGCTGATATGTCTCTAAATACCTCTGACCCGCGCCCCCCGCCACCCAACAAAGTCAGTCACAGAGGTGAGTTGAGCGGGATGTTTGCTTCGAGAAGGTCGCAGCCAAGAGCACAGCTTTGGGGCTCACAACGGGCTGGGGATTCCAAACGGCGTAGTCTTCGGCACATTTCACCCGCTCCCATTCCACCTTCCGAACCACTCTGCTCTCGATGCTCATCCCCCTCTCCATCCCAGCGTTTCCAGCGCGTTAGCAGCCGCGAAGCCCCGGCAGTGAGTGCGGGGGGTGGGGTGGGGGCTCAGGGTGGTTTGTGTGGCGCGGCCTGACAGAACCTTCTGTGTGCTGCGGAGGGAGGAGGCTAATGCATAATGCACAGCGCCTGGAAGCCCGGCCATTAGCGGCCTGTCGCTGACACAGACAAACGACTGAGAGGGAGGAGATCCAGCTCGCTCTGGAGTTTAAATAGACCAGCGTGGAGGGGAAACGCCATGATTTAAAAGTGTGTGTTTGCAGACACTCGCATATATTTTAATGATTTCCAGCAGGCTATGCGTCCCAGCCTTGCATTCCCCTCTCCCCAAAAGGAGGCTGTGTCTAGAGGAGGGAGGACGAAGGCAGAGTGAGAGGCCTCAACCCAGACCCACCAGCAGCTTTTGAGAGATGAAGGAGGGGAGAAGTTCAGAAAGCGAGGCCTGGGGAAGTCACCCGACCCCAGGCCATCCCCAGATTTTGTTCTTAAAAAAAAAAAAAAAAAATTGAACCATCCTTCCTTCCACCCTGGACTACACCCTCTGTGTTGTACTGGAGAGGCTTGGGGGGGGAGCGGAGAATAAATTCTGCCACCCTTGCTTCTCCCGGGAGCCCACATTTTTGAATCTTCCTTTTCCACTGACAATCCAGAGACCTCCTTCCTCCCGGTTTAACACACCAGTGTTTTTTAGCAATTAAGGCGAGAAGGGGGTGGGGATAAAGATAAGCCAATTTTTTTTCCGCCATGCAAGTGTGAAAGATAAGATAACGCTAAGCTGGGGCAAAGCGGCTGCTTACAACCTCCCCTCAGCGATTTTGATCGGTCACTTCTTATCTCGAAAAAAATGCTCTTTTCGAAAACTGCATCAAAAAAGGAAAAGAAAGAAAGAGGAAGGAAAGAAAAAAGGAAAGAGGCTGAAGGAAAACATACATTTGGAAGTGACATTTAAAACCCACCTCCCCTCCACCGACAACCCACTCCCCATTGGCGGGGCTCCCCAGGAAAAGTCGCACCTCGACTGCAGGGTTTCGAGCTTTCTCGTGGGGGGCTGGATTACGAGTGTAATTAGGCTGAATAAAACCAGGGATGCGTGATGAGGATTTATCCTGTATCCAACCCAAGCTCGCGGCCGGGTTTTCCTTCTCTTAGTTACTGGTCGAGGTTTCGCCATCGCACTCTGCCTTGAAACTAAACAGGTAGTTATACTTCGGAGGGTCATATAACGAAGTCAACATAAGGTGGTTATTAATAAGAAATAAGAAGAAACTCTTCTGACATTTACAGGCCCCTATAAAGGGAGAAAAAGGAAATCACACTCCTTAGAACCCGAGTTCTACAGAACCGGACCCTCGGGGAGTTTTAGAAATCCTTCTTTCCGCACAGGAATTTCACGAAGGGGTTTCCGGAAGACTGTTGAGGAAGGTTTTGGTATCCAACTCCACGACCTCAGGGCGGCCTGCAAATTCCCCCCAGCCCAGTGGCTAGCCCCAGAGCGCAAACATCAAGGCGGGCGCCCCAGACCTAGCCTCTAGCCCACAGCCCCGAGGCTCCCACCCCGTCCCCAAGAGGGTCGGCACCGTGGCGCCAGGCACACGCAGACTCTGCCATCTCCAGGCCAGGCTGCAAGAACCAAAGCCTGGGGCCTGCCCCGGCCGGACTGTCCCTGGGGAGCCGAAACCGCCCAGTGGGGAAACCCCTCCTCTCGCCCTTCCCCGAAAAGCTTGGCCGCAGTCTAAGCTCCGGGCAAGCGGGCATCCGCTGACAGCCCGGCCTCACGTAAGGCCCACACGCGTCCCATTAGTCAGCCCGAGTTCCCCTCGGGCGAGCCGCCTGGCGCGGCCCCAAGGCCGGGCGCAGGCGGGGAGGGGGTGCGGGGCCGCAGACTCCGCGGGGCACGGCCAGGCTCGGTTCCGCGTTCCTGGGCCCGCGGGTAAGCTGAGCCGGCGGGGCAGGCCGCTCCCAGGCTGGCGCCGGGGCGCCGAGCTGCGCTTCACGTGCCCGCCATATCAGCGGCGGTGGCGTGGAGGGGGGCTGGGAGCGCGCGGCCATTCCCGCGGGGCCTTTGGCCCCCGCCTCCCCGCCGTTCCCCGTGGGGGCTGGGCCAAGACCACCCCGCGGTCCCCATCCCAACGCAAGCCGAAGGCGGCGCTGCCAGACACAGAGGGCGCCGCTCCGAGAGCCGCGCCGCGGCGGCAGCCGGGGTAGGGTGCTCCTCGCGGCCGCCCCGCCGCCGCCGCCGCAGTCACGGGGACCGGAAGCCCTCGCGCCGCCCCGAGCGGCCTCCGCTGGCCCCAGGGCTGTTCCAGACGAGGGCTGGCCGCGCGTCACCCCTGATCCTTCCTCGCCCCAGGCGACGGCCGGCGCCCTGAGGTATCCCGGTGTAAGCCGGGAGGACCCTTCCTGCTGTCCGATGAGATGTTCCTGTCCCTCTGCTACCACGATAAGCAGGCCTCCCCCCCGCCGCACCGCGCACAGCCCCGCAGCTGGGGCAGGAGGGGCTCGGAGCCGCCACTCCGGCCGGGCAGGAACACCTGCTCCCAGACCCTGCAGCTGGGAGCGTGGTGCTGGGAGAGGCTGCCTACTGTTGTGTGCAGAGATCGCGGAGGAAAAAATAGGGCTCTGAAGCTCAGGGCCAGGAGCAGCCGAGCCTCGGCCACCCCCATCTCCCACCCACTCCGGGCGACAGAGCGCGAAGCCAGAGGGCCTGCTGGAGGCCCGGGTCTCCTTTCGAAGGTCAAAAGGCCGCCACCCCTGGGATCCGGCTTATGGCCTGAAGAGGTCGTTCGCAAAACAGATGGGGCAAAACCTGTTTTGGGAGCCTTCCGGGTGTCTGCCCCCGCTCTCCAATTCAGACACACTCATCTCCCCCTCAACCCTACTCTAGCCTCCGGCGGGGGACCCCAGTAGGTCACGGCGGCACCGGCACTTTCTCCCCTCCCCACGTAGGGACGTAGGGTCGGCTGCCGGGCTCGGACTTTGCCACTCCACCTAGGGGAGGGCCGAGGGACGCTCCTCGTCTCCTCCGTGTCCGGAGGAGATCGGGCGGCGGAGCTGACCTGCAAGGCTTGCCCTGCCTCTCCCACCCCCCACCTTCGTCCCACCCTCCCCTACTCTCCTGGCCCACGGCCCGGCCGGGAAAGGCGTTGTTTTGCCAGCGGGAGCGGAGCGAGTGCGCAGAGAAAAGCCTCCCTGCTCTAATGAGAGTGCACACAGCGCTGCAGCGAGGAGGATGATTACCCGGCAGGCGGGGGGGCGCGGGCCCGGGCCGCGGGCGGCGTGTGCGGCGGCCCCGCGGGCCCTGAGTCCCCGCCTGTCTGGCTGCTAATCGCACGCTTTCTGCTGTTACGGAGGCAGGCGGGAGCCGGCGGCCGAGCCCAGCGCCGGCGACTCGGCGGGTGACACGGAAACATGGCGCAGCGCCCCTCCCCCGCCCGCCCTCCCCGCGCTCCCGCCTCCCGCCTCCCGCCTCCCGCCTCGCACTTCCTCCCGCCCGCGCGGCTTTTGCAGTTCTAATGCTCTGCTTTCGGCCTGGCACCATTACGCTAGCAGCCGCTTCTCCGCGGCCCCGCGCGTCTCTTTCCTCTTTGTTTTCGGGGTCTATAGAAAACGTTTGCTTTTGTCCCGAGCTCTCGTTAAACCAAACTTGTGGTGGCAACGGAAGGCGGTGCAGGCGGGGAGGGGTCCGGGGATTTTGGCAGCAGCCGACCAGACCGTGGTGGAAACTTCTCTCGCTGGGTTCTCCGCTCCCTCCCACTCCTCCTCCCCAACACTGAGCCACCGGCCTCCCAACGCTTCTCCTTTCGCCCCCGAGAGGCCCCAGCGCTCCAGGAAGGTCTGGTCTACAGAGACTGTGACCGGGAATGAAGAGCCCGGGGTGCTTGTCTTTGAGCCCCGAGGTTTTGGCACTCAATGACCTCGCTCCCTGCAGCCCCTACTCGCCTCTTTCCCTTTGGCCATTCGGGGCTTTGTATCAGTCGGTGGAGAAGGAAAGGGAGGGAAGAGAAAGTGTTTCTTGCGTGCGTGTGGTTTTTATTTTAAGGATTTGTTGGAATCTTTCACCCCCAACTGCACAGCCTCCTCCAGTATAGGATCTAGGGCGAAAGCGGGGAAACGTCGGCTTTACCGGGAAAGGGTCGGGTTAGAAACCTAGCCCCGGAGGCTGGATCGTACTCTCCGGGCGGGCTCAGCCACACTTGGTCTACACGCGGGGCGGGGCGACCCAGCAGAGTGGGGTATGCGAGGGCCAGGTCCCTCGGTCCAGGAGACGCCAACGTTCCCTCCTCCAGGCGAGAGAGCAGGAACCCCCAACCCACCCCACTCCCGCGCCCGCGCGCGCGCACGCGCGCGCTTCCTAGCTCGACGCGCAAGACGTGGCTCTCTGCGCCAGAGCTGCTCAGGCGGCAATTTTTTAAGCCTGCAATTAAGCGAGGCGTCGCCGTGTCCTCTGCTAGTGTCGGTCCTGTCAGTCGCACATGGCCTTGGTGCTCCGGTCCGAGGCCCCGCGATTAGTCACAGGCTCGCTTCGCTCCTTCCCTAATCCGCCTCTGCAGGCAGCCTGGGGACGCGGCCGACTTGGCGGCGCTGGCAGGGAGCCACTGCGCTCGGGGCGGGCCGCCTGGCCAGTGCCAGCCCCGCTGCGCCTGAGCCAGCGCGGGCCCTGGGGTGCAGGCTTGGCGCCCCCTCCCCTCTCACAGCCCCACGGCTGAGGCGGCGGCCCCCCTCCTCCTCCCGCCCCTCTCCCGGGCCTGCAAGATCTATTTGTGTGGTGTCATTTGCATAAAAATAGGACAAGTGTTTCTGTGCGTTTGTACGCGGGAGGCGAAATCCTTATTGATGTGTCTGTGTGGAGCCTTCGGTTGTCGGAGCGGTTTGATTTAGGGTGTTTGTGTTGTCTTCTACGAGAAATGAGAGAAAAGTCCTGTGCAACGCCTTCGGCGGCCTGGGCCCCCCGAAGCATGTCCCTCTGCGCGGCCGGAATGGTCCACCAATTGGGCCCCAAGCGCGCCGGATCCACAGCGAGCAGGTTGAGGGCCAGGCGGGCGGCCCATTATGACTCATAAAATCGGGCGGCCTAATCGCCAGCTGCCAACCCATTTACAAGTGGAGCTTCCCAATGATCCCTTCGCCCGGCCTCCTGCGGGTTCGCCCTGACACAGCTAGAGCCGCCAAGTGGGAGCTAATCTAGTGGCCTCTCCTTCCCGTCGGCAGCGTGGCTTCCCTTCCCGGGCGACCCCCGTTCTCTTGGCCTCGGTGCTGCTCGCCAGCAACTCCTCAGCTTGGACAAATAGCTGGGAGGGCGCCGGCCGCGCGGAGCCAGTAAATCAATCATTAACTCCCAGGCGAGGCCTGGGTGAGGGGAGGGAGCGGCGGCCTGAGCCGAGTCCACGGGGCGAGCGCAAGGCCCCCACCCGGGTTAGGAGCCATCCACACGCCCACGAACCGGGTGCGTGAAGGCGGGTCCCACCCGGGCCCCTCCACAAGTCTCCACCCGCCGGGCCTTTCAAGCCCGCACCTCGCCTGGCCAGGCAGGTCGGGTTACCCCGCTTCCCCTGGGCGGGCTTGAACATTAACGAGCCGCCTCGGGCCTCAGCGGCCTGCTCTCCCCCGGAGAGCGTCCCACCCTTGGTCAAGCTCCTCGGATCCGGCCAGGCTCCTCCTGGTTCAGGCTTGCCAAACCAAACTGATCGCACCCCGTGTCGACCCATCTCCCTGCGGCACCCTCCTCCCTGAGCCCACTGTGGGGCCGGCACACAGGGAGTTAAAAGCCTCGGTTCGCTCTGGCTCCTTCGCGGCGAGTAGAAAACGCTGATCAAAGTGCTTAAGGGGAAGGTAACACAAATGGATTCGCGCCCCGGTCGAAAGAGGCCGACTGGAGACGGCTCCGGAGCCACCCTCCTCGACCCGCTTCCCACACTCCCGGGAACGCCGCGGCGGCGACGCTGGCCCGCACGATTCGCTCGGCGGAGCGCTGCGCGGCAGGGCCGGGAGGGCGGCGGGGAGGAGGAGAGACCAGGGGGCGAGAGGCGAGCCCGGGCTGCGCGCCAAGAGGCCGGGAGCCGCAGATTAGTCACCACTCGGCTCTGCGATCCCGGGTGCGCCCGGGAACCGGGAGGGCAGGCGTCGGCCCCGCTCAGCCGGGCTCCCGGAGCCTCGGCACGGGTGCCCCCACCCCCGCACGCGCCTGGCGCGGCTGGCTCGACTCTTGGGGACTCGCGCAGCCGAGATCCACTTGTCAGGTCAAGGGCAGGACAGAAACTGCAAGCGAAGTCTTACGAACAGGAAATTTCTCATTGACAAGGTGCTGCCCCTCCCCCACGCCGGGTTTCAAAACAAAACTCCAGTGCGGGCGGCCCAGGCACCCAGCCTCGCTCGCCACGGCCGGCGACCCCGGCTCCTCAGCCTCGGCCCCGGGCGGCGGAGCCAAGCCAACAGAACCAGCGGACGGACTCGGCGCAGACCCCGCGGAGGGCGCCAGGCTGCCACCTTCTGGGGCCCGTGTGGGGTCGGCGGGGGTGCGGAGCCCCGCTCCTTCCCGGGTTCTGCAGCCGCCGAGCGGTTTTGCCGAGCTGGCCGAGGCCGCCGTGTCGGCGGCTCCCCGGAGGGCATGGGGGACGGGGAGGCCGCGCGGCGCCGCCGACTCGGCGAATCCCGCTGCGGAAGCCCGGGAGGGCTGCGAGCTCGGCCTGGCAAAGTTCCTGTGGAAACTCCATGTTTTGAAACTCCAGCGGCGTCGCAGAAGGAGGGGGAGAGGGGAGCGCGGGAAGCGCGCGGGGGCGGCCTGCACCCGCCTGTCCCCGAAGGGGAGTGTGTTCCGCGGCCCCCCCAGGCCTCGTGGGAAGAAGGCTGGAGGGCGAGGACGGCCAGGTCCCTGGGCCGGTTCTTTTGTGTGTTCCCCTCTCCATCCTCCACACTCTAAGAGAAATGTATAAACCCGTTTCATTTAGTGAATTCACCCGGGAGAGGAAGGCTGCCTTTTTAGGGACCACGATGTTCAGGGTAATTTCGTATTTGACACGTGTAAATACCTAGTGCTCTCAGGTAAGGTCAAATTATTTATCATCTTAATTTATATTTCAATAGGCCTACAATTTAGAGGCGAGAAATGCCTCCTTATGAATCATTATGGTCTATTAGGGGAAGTAATGTATAAACAGCAGTTTGGGAGGGAATCACTTATGTTGACGTTTAAATGGCTCTTCAATAGTTAAAAAAAAAAGACATTCGAGTGCTTTTGATTAAATATAAAATTCACAAGGCCATCAGCATAGCCATCAGGAATATAAATTCTTCTTGGGATTTTTATTTATTTATTGCCAATTTTTGAAACCTTCCAGGGCACGCATGTCATTGAATCCCTATGGGGGAAAAATATTAACATTGCAGGCAAAATATTCTCCTCTCTCCCAACTAATGTCTTATCAGGAACTCAGGGAACTTCTGGAACTCTGAACAGACTTCACCATCAGGGACTCTGGTGGGAAGTTTGTCGATCCTGTACCTCTAAGAGAATCAACCACTTTCTAACAATATTGCTGCTAATTTGTGAAACAGCACGGCTTCCCTGCTGGAGTTGAAACTTACCGAAGGCCAGTGTCTGTCCATCCATCCTGATGATGTTCCCACAGCACCCAGCATACGACCTCACACTGTTTTAAGTCATCGTTTCACACCTGCTAAAGTATCACCTTCTTAGAGGCTTCTCCTGGCTGCCTCATCCCCCGGTACCCTTTCTTGAAAGGCCCCATTAGACTTCGTTGCTTGAAGCATCGCCCATGTTAAGAATGCCCCTTATAGCCCAGCGCCGAGGCTCACACCTGTAATCCCAGCACTTTGGGAGGCTGAGGCAGGTGGATCAAGAACAAGAGATCAAGACCATCCTAGCCAACATGGTGAAACCCTGTCTCTACTAAAAATACAAAAATTAGCTGGGCATGGTGGCACATGCTTGTAGTCCCAGCTACTTCGGAGGCTGAGGCAGGAGAATGGCTTGAACCTGGGAGGCAGAGGTTGCAGTGAGCCGAGATCTCACCACTGCACTCCAGCCTGGAGACAGAGAGACACCGTCTCAAAATAAATAAATAAAATAAAAAATAGAATGCCCCTTCTTAACCCCATATCTCCTTTGCTGGTTCCCTAGTTATCTGTTTCTCTGTACGGCTGGACTTCTTAAAAGAGGTGTCGCCAGCCATGTGGAATTTCTTTAGGCTTACCTCATGTTCACTCAAAAAATCAGCTAGTCTTGAAGTTATTTTAAGACATTGGGATAAGTGCAGCTTTGTTTATAACAGCATAGAATTATAAACAACCTAAATAGCCAGCAGTGACATTGATGGCATATGCATACAATGGAATATTCTGTAGCTGTTAAAATAATAAAGAAGATCTGCTCTGTGTGTTGATATGGAAAGAC